TATATATATATATATATATATATATATAAATGATATTCATAATATTCATAGTCTTTGTTATATTACACACGATGATAACATGTTCTCTAAAGACATTGAAATTATTTTCGATCCAACGTGATCTTGAAGATTTGATGATTTGATCTTTTTATTTAACTTTAGATGATAAACAATTTTTTGAAAAGCCCAATCACTTTTCGATAAGCTCAGATGAATGAAGTACCGCCAGTGACTCACGATCATTTAACCATCGGTGTTAGACTTATGCAAATCAATAAAGCCATTGCTCACGCGTTGCTGTTATTAGTGCCCCGGCGTGTGTGATAAATGAAAAAGTGGAAAAAAGAATGAAAAAAGGAGCGGGTATACGGTACGACCGGCCGTGTCATTGAACGTGAACGAGCGGCGGCGTGTATATAATTACAGGAGACATTTATTAATTCTTTACGATCGACGTAACACGAATTCAAAGCGATCGCATGACGGAGGTCTGGGCTCGGCGAGACGCGCGGGCGACCATTCTCATTCATGCGTTTCGCCAAGTAACATGTATCGATAAAAGCGATGAAACTTATTATTCATTAATTGCTCATTGTCACGGACGGCCGGATAATTCTGCCGGGGATCCCGCTTATGTAACATTCGCCGGCGAGATTCCGCGGTTTCGCGATTAATTAATTATTAACAGATTCTCATTAACGAGTGACGACGACCGAATGGAATAAAAGAAGCATTCGCATTACGTGTATAGATTGAAATGTAGTACAGGTGTAATATAGATTAATTCTGGAGAAGAAAAAAAATTAAGAATTATGTCTCTGAAGTTTCTCGTTGTTTTATAATAAATGTACACGTGGAATGGAAACTTTATAATATATTGAATGAACTTTTATAATTAGATCTCTCAGTTAGTCGTATATAGATACACTACTTGGATAGGTTAAGGACACAAATCTTGAGAATGTTAAATTAAAAATAGATAATGCGTATCGCAGATTTAATAGGGTCTCTATAAAAAAAGAAAAAAACGCAAAGCTGTTGCATGTGACCTTGGGTGCCGTTGCATCAATCGGTGCCGCTACTTGAAGCTTCAATTTAAAGATCTTGCTGCAATGTCTTTCAACGATTATAACGGACAAGAAATTAGCGCGATCGCTTCTTATCATTGCAACAACCGCGATAAGGAAATCTTTATCAGAGATAAGATTGTTTTACGGCTTTCGAGTTGAAAATTATCTCGCCTTCAACATACGAACTTATATCGTATCAAGTGTTTGCCGATATCTACCGATGTCAGTGTAAAGTATATTTATTGGAAAAATCGAAAATCAAATTGAATCGAAATTCTACGTATTCTGCAGTGAAACATGTTGTTCTAATAATTTTTAAATCAAGTTAATAACAATCAAGTTGTTCGAAACAAACGTATGAATATAAGATTATGCATGTATTTACGAATGGATGAAATTAGATTAGAATTGTAACGATTATAAAGTATAGGAATTTATAGTACAACGACGTTGTATATATTTATTTTTTCGTTTACATAGGAGCTTTTATATCTCGTGGTGTGTGTATAAAAATTCGGTGGTTTAAATAAATAGAATATGGTGTTAAACAGAATTTAACAATTGATCTGATAATTATCATTATTGATCGATTATTTAACCGATGATTATTTATTTATAACATTACGTAAATAGACACCCCTGCACTCAGAAATTTGGAAGCATTCAAGAAAGAATCATTATTCATTCAAACATGTACTAAACTTTTGAGCTCGTCAAGCCTATTGTCAAGCCTATAAATTCGATTATAAATATTAACAAATTCGACATATATTTTATACGCAACGCGTATAA